CTTCTAAGGCATTTCATCTCTGTTGTATACCACTAACCCGTGCTAAATATAGCTGCAGGTTTGTTTGGGGGTGAATTCTTCTTCTTCTTCGCGTTCACCAGCTGTTAACTCTGGTGGAAGGTTCTGGTTGCTCGTCCACTACTGAACTGCAGTCCTGCTCCAGTACCTGAGTGTTGCGTGTGCATCAGTTTTACAGATCACATTCTCTTGAATACAGACTGTTGGCTCCTTGCCTCTCCGGCAGATGCACTCTGACTTCACAGGAAGCTCCCCAATTAGTCGACTCTTACGACATGCTTTTGGGGAGGCAGTGGGTCTATTCTTGTTTTCCCCACAATGGGGCCCCGGAACCAACACGGGGGTGGGGGTGAATTAAAATTGGTGCCTAGGGGAGTGGGTGTTGCCGTGGCGTAAGGGCTAGACGCTCGCATGCGGATCAGAAAGTCTTGGGCTCAGGAGCTGGACTTTTACCCCCCCCCCCCCCCCCTCGAAAATGAACTTGGCGCCCAGTTTGACACAGCCTTAAATGGGTACCAGGTAAAGCCTGGGAAGTAAAGGCGGCCAGCATGATGAGGACAACATCACCCGCTGAGTGCCGACTGGTCTGTAAACTATAGAGACAGCCCTATACGCCCGAAGGCTTCCGTTACCCAGGGGGCTAACAACAGTGACACATCCCCGCTGGGCTCAAAAGTTCATGTTAAGCGAGGTAAGTCTTAAGCGAGTTCGTCTTGGCGAGGTTTTACAGTAACTTTCGTATCCCTGCTTAACACCAGCGGGTCTCGCTAGTGACTTTCGCCATCTCCTTGTATGGGTTTCGGGGCCCCATTTTCATGGTAAGAGAACAGACCCCGTGCCCCCTAACAAGGTCGACGTCATTGGCGACTACTTAGGGGGTCTTTCATCCGGTGTGCCTGTCTGACAAACGAGGAACTAATAATCTGCACACAGTTAAGACAGATATGTAAAACCGACGTACATGCAAACCTCAAGTTCTGCGTAGACGAACAATCAGAACTGTCTGCTGGAATTTACAGCCGGTGAACGCGAAGAAGAAGAAGAGGAAGAGGAGGAGGAAGAAGAAGAAGAGGAAGAAGAAGCTACGAAACGACTAGTAACTGTATCTCTAACAGCTGCCCAGGGCAGAGATCTAAAAACAACTGGACATTTTCGCAATCCTGTGCCGCGTATGTTAGCCTTGAAGTCAGTGCGAACAGCCAACGATAAAGAAAGGAACACTCTTGCACGCAAGTATACCCCACACGTCCGCAGGTGAACAAGTACATCTCTTGGCGTTTAATTCATCGATATTACTAAAATATGAATGTACGAACTCAGTCACCCCGCCACTTTATGCGCCCTTCATGTGTAGGGGTTCTCCGGGTGCAAACTTGTTTTCGGCCGAAACTTAATTCGCCAGATTCGGAAGATATGCACTTCACGTTTTTGATACACACTTAACTGTACTGAATTTCGCTTTCGTAAAACGTCTTTACAGCTTGCATTTAACAGTTTATCGCGGGATTGAGGCGTCTCGTTGAGAATTTAGGGCAGCGTGGTTGCTGCATACATACGCCACGAACTGTGCAAGTTAGAATGGTTATTTTTGCCACAGACCCAAATAATTAGCAGCTGCCGTTGTGTACCGGCTAGACACTCGGCTATGGATCCTAAAGTCGTGTGTTCAGATCCTGATGGTACCTTACTACGTGAGCCAGGTCCCAGTTTCTAGGCTGACCCACAAAGAGGTGACAAGAGCTTCTGACAAGTACGGTGACGCGATGAGTACTCCGGGTGGTGACGCGCCTCTAAGCAAAATATCTTGTTCATGCCATGTGGGCATAAGCGATATTTTACAGACCAGTAGGCAGCCTTTATTTCCCAGGACATTGTATGCTACCTATTTTAGAGTGAATGACACCAGCTGTGAAGTTGCGAACGCGCTTCGTAATGCCCTGTTCAATCCCAGCTACAGGCCATTTGGCAGAAGGCCGTTTTGTGTTGGTTTCGACAGTGGTTCGACCGGTCAGGAAACAAGGGCAAACTATTGAAGGTAACATCTGCTTATAAAAACAGCCTAAAACAGCTGGGGTGGGTTCTGCAATATTCTGTAAAGGATGTACACAAACTTTTTTTTTTTAACCAAATGCCCATCAGGGGCTGGTTGCACGTAGACAGTTTTTTTTTTCATCCAACATGTCAGTCAGTGAGGCAGTCAGTCAGTCAGGCAGTCAGTCAGTGCAGTGTGCCAAAGTCAATTTTGAAAAAAGGGATGGGGGGGGGGGGGGCGGGGGTCCGCCAGGATGCAGAATCGAACCAGAGACCTTCTGATCAACAGACGAACACCCACCATGGCACCTCTGCATCTCAATTAAAGTAATGCCCTTTTCAGGCTTTCAGGCAGAATTAGTTAAACCAGTGGTTCTTAACCTTCCTAACGCCGCGACCCTCTAACCCAGTTCCTCATGTTGTGGTGACCCCAACCAGAAAATTATTTTCGTCGCTACTTCAAAACTTCAATGAATATGTGTTTTGCGATGGTCTTTGGCGACCCTTGTGAAAGGGTCATCTGACCCACACAAAAAAAGGAGTAGCGACCCATAGGTTGAGAGCCCCTGAGTTAAAGCAGCAACGGACTAGGATCGCAGTTAAAGGACCCCAGACATTTCATTGGTCTTTACCTGATGGTTTTAATTTTCTTCTACTACTTCGTAGCGTTCACCAACTGTAAACTCCAATGGAAAGTTCTGGTCGTTCGTCCACTTCTGGACTTTAGTCTTGATCTAGAAGAGGGTTTGCGTGCACATCCGTTCTAGATTATCTGGCTTATCTGTATGCAAACTGTTAGTTCGTCACCTCTCAGGCAACAACAACTTCAAACGAAACCCCAGAATTATAATTGATTTTAGGACACGATTAGGGGAGGGGGTCTATTGTTTGTTCCCCTAAATGGGGCCTTGGAACCCACACAGTTTTAACGAAATATCTTAAGAAGTGTACACTGAACAATAAATTCATGTCTTTATTAACAGATAGTGCATTTTCCTGTGTTGGGCCAGAGTGCAAGTCATGAGGACGCCATGTATAAAGCCTCTCGGACTTTGAATGCAATAAAAGTAATGATCAAGGTTTTTATTTTTATTTCTAGGCCTAAGTTATATTGACACCTTAAAAGATCTGAACATCAAGGAATATTGGCAAATAAACAGCACCCTGTCTCGAAAGCTGAAATATTTTGGTCATATCAAGCGCCACAATGGATTGGAAAAAATTATAGCAGAAGGCATGGTACCAGGAAGAAGGGACAGAGGCTGACCGACACCAAGATGGGCATAGGATATAAGTAACTCCTTTAATATGAAAGTGCATGAGGCGGGAGAACTGGCAAGAGACCGAGTTTCTTTCAGGCAGACTGTGATGAGAGCAACATTCTGCAAAGGACCTGCTACATGATGATGAGGCTTGTGTTACAGAGGTTCACTGTAAAATTACCCGTCAGACTGGCAACCTGGCAACTTCAAACCTACTTTAACTACAGTGAAAAGATGGAAAATGCAAAGTCAGGATATGTAGTAAGATCTAACAGCCTCTTAAAAACAATACTACAGAGCTGAATAGAGGGCAAGAAGAGAAGAGGCAGACAGAGAAAAGACCTTAATACAGAACTTGACTGACAGGCCTCAGGCAGACAACCATGAAGCCCACTGCATCTGACCGTCAAAGGTGGAGGGAGCTGATCAAACAGTCACTGGTGACCAAACGACAAACAGGGTTACGGGACAATGATGAAGATGATGATGATGAACAAGTCAGAGAACAATTTGAAATAATCCTCGTCTCTGCTTCATATCCTAAACCTAGAGGTCCATTCACCTTAGTGCACCAGTTGCAAACAAACCACCCCCCCCCCCCAACCCCCTTTTATATTATACACACACACATGAGATCACAGAGGATGGGCATTTTCTTTAACCCAGACAGTGGCCAGAGAAGAGATCTTACCCACTTTCATATTCGCTTCTAAAAAAGCTGGTGGGTATATTATGTTGTAGTTCACAGCTAGGCTGCGATGCATGCACCTTTTATCCCAACACACCCGCAAACCCCTATTGGTCACCCTATACAACATACTTTTTTGGGGGTTGAGGAATGGGGGGGGGGGGAAGGGGGGGTTATTCTGAAAAGAATAGATCACTAAACTGGAAAAATATGAAAGCATTACACACATAATATATTATACAGAAGCAATGTAACGGTGGTATAGTTAATCCCTGATTACAAGCAATGTGAAGGTGCTACAATTATTCTTTGATTAGAAGCAATGTAACGGTGGTGTAATTAATCCCTGATTACAAGCAATGTGAAGGTGCTACAATTATTCTTTGATTAGAAGCAATGTAACGGTGGTGTAATTAATCCCTGATTACAAGCAATGTGAAGGTGCTACAATTATTCTTTGATTAGAAGCAATGTAACGGTGGTGTAATTAATCCCTGATTACAAGCAATGTGAAGGTGCTACAATTATTCTTTGATTAGAAGCAATGTAACGTTGGTATAATTAATCCCTGATTACAAGCAATGTGAAGGTGCTACAATTATTCTTTGATTAGAAGCAATGTAACGTTGGTATAATTAATCCCTGATTACAAGCAATGTGAAGGTGCTACAATTATTCTTTGATTAGAAGCAATGTAGCGTTGGTATAATTAATCCCTGATTACAAGCAATGTGAAGGTGCTACAATTATTCTTTGATTAGAAGCAATGTAACGGTGGTGTAATTAATCCCTGATTACAAGCAATGTGAAGGTGCTACAATTATTCTTTGGTTAGAAGCAATGTAACGGTGGTATAATCAATCCCTGATTACAAGCAATGTGAAGGTGCTACAATTATTCTTTGGTTAGAAGCAATGTAACATTGGTATAATTAATCCCTGATTACAAGCAATGTGAAGAGAAAAGATGAAATGAAAGTGATTAAAAATAAGGTCACAAACCTGAGTTGGCACATGATCCGCATTTTCATAGAAGGTGTGTGCGATGAGGAACATGTCATCCACACCAAGGCCCAATGCCAGGAAAGGAATGATCTGTAACAGAATGAAAGAATTTAGGAGACACTCAAGATTCAATGTCAGTAAAGGAGGTAGAAAACACACATACATATGGGTGACATACACACAAGAAAACAGTTAAACTATGAAATTAAATAATGAAGGGATGAGGGGAACATACGCACACCACACGAAAAAAAATCGGAAGTAGCCTTTATCAACAAAACCCACACCACCAACAACATAAAGCAGACTATCCTAGCTACCAGTCGCCACATGCAAGTGCAGGAGTGATAGGAAAAAAGACTGAAGGAGTGAAGGAACAAAGAGTAAAAGACTGAAGGAACAGAGTGAAAGAACAAATACTGAAGGAGTAAAGTACCAAAGAGTAAAGGAACATAGAATAAAGGAGTGAAGGAACAAAGAGGAAGGAATGAAAGAGCAAAGAGTGAAGAAGCAGCTACAGACACAAAAGACAACATACCTGTGTTGTTGAAGCATTGAAGTTGATCCCCAGAACCGAACAGATTCCAAGGCCAGCGGCTACTGACAAACACACTAGGACCACGCCGGCCATGGCTATCCCACTCTGGGACTTGACAGCATCATTCCATCTCAGCATAGACACACAGGCATAGATAAACTGGATGGAGCAGAAAAACAAAGAGGAATGATAGTGGTGATAGTCACACGTCAAATATGGCTAGACTAGCTAATTGTACGAGCCCCTTAAAGTCAGACTAGCTCACTGAACAAGCTGCTCAAAGTCATACAAGCTCAATACAAGCCACTCAAAGTCACGTTAGTTTAATATATGGGCCACTCAATGTCATTCTAGCTCACTGTACAAGCCCCTCAAAGTCAGACTAGCTCACTGTAGGGCCACTCAAAGTCAGACTAGCTCACTAAACAAACCGCTCAAAGTCATACTAGCTCAATTTACGAGCAAAAGTCACGCTAGTTAAATATATGGGCCACTCAATGTCATTCTAGCTCACTGTACAAGCCCCTCAAAGTCAGACTAGCTCACTGTAGGAGCCACTCAAAGTCAGATTAGCTCACTATACAAGCCACTCAAAGTCATATTAGCTCACTGTACGAGCCACTCAAAGTCAGATCAGCTCACTATACAAGCCACTCAAAGTCAGATTAGCTCACTTTACGAGCCACTTAAAGTTAGACAAGACAGCTCAGACAAAGCCACTCATACCAAGTCATGCAAACAACTCAAACAAAGCCACTGAAACCAGGTCACTCCAACCAAGCCACTTATAACAAGTCACTCAAGGAGCAACAGATACAAGCAAGCTTAACCTTTTCTTATTCTTCGCATTCATCAGTTGCAAACTTCAGCAGAGAGTTCTGGTTGTTCGTCCACCTCTAGACTCAAGTCCTGTTCCAGAACCTAAGTGTTGCATGCACATCCACTTTACAGATGACTTATCTTTATGCAGATTGTTGGTTTTTTTCCTCTCAGGCTAATTCTCTCTTAGAAGGAAGCCTCCAGCTAGTTGACTCTTATGACATGCTTGCTATGGAGGCAGTGGGTATATTCTTGTTTTCGCCACAATGGTGTGCCAGAACACAACTGGGGAAAACAAGCTTAACAAAGACTGGGAGAAAGAAACAAATATCCGACAACAGATTTACTCACCATGACAACATATCCCAGGACTACCCTGGTGACGCTGACATTGGAGAAGTTCTTCATGATGTCCGACAAGGATGTGTAGGAGAAAGCATACAAGTTGTCCTTGTTGGACTCATTGCCAAAACTGTTGATGACCTAACCGGACACAAAGTCAAACTAGTCAACAACAACAAAAACCTTAATTTAACTGGTTCATTATCTCACATCATAGAGGAATGCAATTAGGTACAAGGATCCCTGCTTCTTCTTTTTCTGTGCTCTTCCTTAGAAGGGCAGTTGACATACTGTGTTGTGTTTTTACAGCTAGACTGAGATATCTCTACCTTTCAGCCCAATAGCAAACCTCCAGTTAGCTACCTTTTATGACATACTTCTTAGGAGATGGGAGTGGGGTGTCTGAATTATCCCCCCCCCTTTTTTTCAATGAAAACACCGGTACCCATAAAAGAAAGAGATCGCAGCAAAAACAAAAAATGTCACCATTCAATACGATTGTGGTCCTTAACAAGTTTTGATAAAGCTGTAAGTATTCTCAATGTAGATACCAGCAACAAAGCTGCAAATCTTTTTTTTTTTTTTTTAAACTTGAAACATATGAGGTGTGATATCCAGTACTTTCTGTTGCAATTCTTTCAAACTCTTAAAAAAAAAAAATTCAACAGAAAGATAAATAAATGTGCTGAGTGTTCAACTGGTGCATAAGTGAACAGATGAATCAATGAATAAATGAATCCTCCTCTGGTTAGCATTCCCCGGCTATAAGCTCTGGTGAAGGTTTCTGGTTGTTCACCCACTTCTGGACTTTGGTCATGTTATAGAACCTGAGTTTTTCCTGCAAATCCATTTTTACAGATCTGGCTTATTTATATGCAGACTGTTGGTTCCTTGCCTTCCAGGCAAATGTACTGTGACTTTAAAGCAAACATCCCTAATTAGTAGCCTTTTATGACATGCTTCTCGGCGGGGCAGTTTGTCTATTCTTAATTTCCCCCAAAATGGTGCTCCAAAGTCCATGTGGGTGAATAAATGAATGAATGGAAGTAAATCATAGAAACGACCATATACTAACACAATGATGAGTAGTTGAAAGGATAGATGTATAGATAGATGGACAGATGAATGAAATGATGGACTGGGTGTAGAAGATCACCTGTGAGAATTTCCTCTGGAAAGCTTCCAGGATCGCTTTGGCCTTCTGCTGTGTCCAGTCAATTCCCACCACTTTCTGCGACTCCTCGTAATAATGAAAAAAATCCTTCTCTGCCATCAGCTGTAGGATGGACTGATAGGCTTCAACTCTGGATAAAAGAAACACAGGTAAACAAACCTGAGGACTGTCAACATGCAATGGATGAAAAGATCTAAGTCAACAGAAATGATACTGCATAACTCTCTGTGAGGTAACCAGGGCCTTGTTGTGAGGAAAACAAGAACAGACCTACTTCGTCTTTCTCTTCTTCTCTGTTCACCAGCTGTAAGCTCCAGCGGAAAGTCCTGGTTGTTCGTCCATTTTAACTTTGGGTTTGTGCCAGGACCTGCATTTTGCGTGTACATCTGTTTTACTGGCTTATGTGTGTGCAGTTGGTTCGTTAATTGGGTAGATGCACTCTGATTTTGAAGGAAGTCCCCAATTAGACGACACCTATGACATGCTCGTTGGGAAAGCTGTGGATCTATTCTTGTTTTCCCTATAATGGGACCCCATAACCCACACAGGCATAAAGATCCACCGCCTTCCTAATTCCTAACTGGAGGTTGCTAAATTTGAATGTATTGAGCCGAAAGGTAGAGAAATCACAGTCTAGCAGTAAAATACAAAACAATATGTCAACTGCCTTTTTAAGGAAGAGCCAAGAAGAGGAAGAAGTTAAGATCCTTTTGCCTAGTTGCATTTCTGCTGTAAACTCCAGCAGAAAGTTCTGGGTGTTTAGCCACCTCCAGATTTTAGTCTTGTTCCAGAACCGGAGTGTTGCGTGCACATCCGTTTCACATATCTGGCTTATTTGTGCGCATACTCTTGGTTCCTTGACTGACACGCAGCTGTATTCTGACTTCAAAGGATGCCCCCAATTAGTGGACTCCTATGACATGCTTGCTGGGGGGGGGGGGGGGGGGGGGCAGTGGAGTCTGTTTTCTCCACAATGGGGCTCCAACACCCACACAAAGAAGGTTTGTATTTAAGACCCAGATCCCTACTGAGGATCAAGTACACACCCAATGAGATGTGAGGCAGACATACCAACCCCTAAGCCATATGAAGAGAGCTGCATGTGACAGTGAGGGATAGGGCAACGATGTGAGTTGGTTGAATGCCTATGCTCCACTGGGGATTAGGAGGCAGAAGAAGAAGAAGAAGCCACCAGCACCTCAGAATAATTAACAGACTTTTATTACATTTCTTATTTATGAGTCAGCATCAAATAGATTTACTGACCTGCTTTACACAAAATGAGTTATCAGATAAATTTATTGAACTGTTTAACATTTAGTTAGTTATCATCAATACCACTGTATTATTTGGTTCAGAGTTAAGACAGACTTTGAGTTCTTATTTGCTCACCATCTATCAGTTAAGAAATCATACATCAGACAGACACGACACCTCGAGCCACCTGATGCAAACCAAGGAGCCCAACCAGCTGCTACAAACCAGCTCAAACTTGAATGCTCCAGAACCGGCAACTCCACTCCCAGCAAGTATCATCTTCACACATTCTGACCCCACCGCATAAATACACCCCCACAGCTGATCAATCAGACATGATCCTTACCTGACAACATGGCCTGTCTTGTTTCTGCGAACCCCTCCAAAGATTAGATCTTGTTCCCAAGCCATGTACTTGGAGGCAAATCCTACACAGCCCTTAGTGAACTCTGCTCCGATGTCTGGAAATTGCTGCACAGCCAACAAAAAATGTTTTAACACAATGAGGCCAAGAAATGCCCTACCTGCCTGATGACGTATGGCAGAAATTTCAGTGTGATGTTTCACATTTAACAGTTTTCATTCTCACAAAACAGTTCGCATATCTTTAAATGTCAAGACATTATGACAAAGTCATTCAAATGTAGTCACTCAGATTAAGTCATTCCATTACTTGAAGTTACTCAGTCATTCACAGTTGCTCATACATAGTCACTCAAGATAAACTTGTGTGATACTCACAGCCATTAAGTCAGCCAGACAAAGTTATTAAGTCACTCAAAGTTATAAAAATACTTAAACTAGGTCACTCAAACTAATTTACTTATAGGGAAAAAGTTATTCATAGGGAAAAAGTTACACAGGAGACAAGTTACACACAGGAGACAAGTTACTCATAGGACAATTTTTTGCTACTTTCTAGCTCCAAAAAAGAAATTTACATGCCACACAAACTCTAGGGAAGGTAAGGCAAACTACGAAAAAGCCTTTAACTGATTATCATATTCTTCTTCTTCTTCTTCTGCATTCATCCGAAGATGTAATTGCTTTGTGCCCATTTACAGCATGGCTGTGATATCTGCACCTTTCGGCCAACACATCCAGCTTCTACAGGCATTTGTTGAGAGTGTTAGCCCTCCTAAAATTATTATAATGATTAGTTATAATTAATATAATTATTATTATAATGAAACACTTACACTAGAATTAAAGTTTGGAGCTGTTGTTGGACAGCTGGGATCTTTTGGATTGAGACACGGCTTCTCCTGGTACGCCGTGGTGATTCCTGCCTGAGGAGAGATTTACAGGTGCGTTTTTGTCAGTGCTTCTGTCTTATGACAGCAGCTGAGTCAGTTTGGTGTCTGTCGCTTTGTGTCTGTCTGACTCCTCAGAAGTTAGTTGCGTATCCTTTACAGGACGTCGCAGAATGAGCCCCAGCATTTTTTATTGTGATTTTTCTTGATACATTTTACTTTTAGTAGTTTGCAAATCGCGTTTTAAACGATCGACTCCCGGCACCCTTGACAAAACCAGCAAGACTGTCTGCTGCCAAATCGCCCACAGCTGAGATCGGACCAGGCACTATGAATCGTGTTCCTAACGCCCAGACCATGAACGCTGACAACTCCTCAAACATGATGAATTTGTGTAAATCCTGGAAATTGCTGAATATGACTCTCAGTGTAGTTTGACAGACACTCTCTGTCTCTGTTAAAATGGCTGAATAAATCTGCATTCTGTTTTTATCTCTGGTTGAATATATATATATTTCGTAATATTCTGTGTGTTCTGTCATGCATGTATGTCTGGCTCCACTATTTCCTGATCCATAACATTTAGAAAGGGAGCCACCATGGTCTAGTGGCTAGATGCTCGGCTGCGGATCAGAAGGTCGTGGGTTCAGTTTCTGAGGGTCAAATTTTTTTCAAAAAATGAGCTTGGCTCCCATGTTGACCCAGCCTTGAATGGGTACAAGGTACAGTCCTGGGATGTAAAGGCAGCTGGGGTGATGCTGACCCTATCACCCACCAAGTGTCGTTTGGTCTATAAAATATAGGTCTAGCCCTATATACCCAATACGCCTGAAAGGCATGGAAAATGGTCCTCTACTGTTTACTTTATTTAACATTTAGAAATACACTCAGGGGACCTCACTGTGAATCTATATATTTTCTGGAAATGTTATCGAGCTATCTAAAATTAACTTAGCTAATACACTTGTATTTTACTAGCCACATTCTTTTGGCTAAAGGCACTTCAGTTCCACCTTATTTTATTTGCTATCAGTACAGCTACTCGCGAGAGCTGACATGGTGAAGCGGTTAGATACTCACATGCGGATCCGAAAGTCATGGATTCAGGTCCTGAAAAGCTGGATTATTTCTCAAAAATGACCTAGGCTGACCCCAGGTGGAGCCAGCTGTAAATGGGTACCAGGTAAGGTCATGGGAAGTAAAGATGAGCTCATCCCTCATCGAGTGACGATGGGTCTATGAAATATAGACCTAGCCCTATATGCTTTGTATCTTAGTTTCAGCATCATAGCAAATGGGTCGCCTCATAGTTGCTCCGCTCCTGTGCCAACTAAAAACACACAGAATGTTTATCACAGTCCCTTGTGGAAAGATTGACAGACTGCTGTCTCAGCATATCTAGCATACACACGCATTAAAAGCATACGGTAGCCATCCAAAGTGCTAACACAAACAAT